CAGCCATGCAGTATTAATGACTCTTCTCGTTGCCTGTTTTGGATTCAAACATTGGTTACTTTTAACAACTACCTGTAGGTAGCAAAATAATTCAAAGGTCCACGGCTGTTTGCAGCGGCTGTAGAATTATGGTGCCTTAAAAGGAGAAACTACTGGCACCAGAGATCATCTAGCTCGTAAAGTGGATGTGAGATTGTAGGTGGTACAGGTACAAGTAGAAAACAGCTGCAACAGATGCAGCACTCCACAGACTAATTCTTTTGATTTAATGTTACTGTATATTTCTAGGCCTAAAGCTTGAGTACACTTTTTTTCCTTGAGGGTGGAAGGGTTTTAGTTGAGTTAGAGTAGTACTAAACAGATTTCTTGAGGCATTGAAAGTGCCCTGATGGTGTTTCAAGAGAGACACTGAGCAAGAGTAGGTGTGTGTGTTGGCATTGTGGACCAGGCCAGAGAAGTCAGCATGGGAGTCCCATGAGGCAGGATGTAATTGGAGACATGGATATCTGGACTTTTTTTCTGCAGTGAAAGGCATCTCTCCAGTATATGTTTCTGAATTCTTGTGTACTGTGATGCGACACAAGAAAAATAGTATTGGAAAAAGTCTGTTGCAAAAGTGGTAGACCCATGAGGATCAGCTCCTTTTTATCAGCAATAAAATGCATCAATATTGTTGAGAAAATGAATAGAGATGGGTGGAAATGAGCCCGTTTTTACATCCAAGTTCATATTGATGGGATAAGCATGAAAATTCATGATTTGTCTTTTGACCAAAATGCAAATTACAAGTGGATGATTCTTTTGGTTCATAATAGCTGGACATAGCTGGGGATTTGAGTTAGAGTAAGGGAGAGCTGTGACGTTCAGTAGCACCTTGTCAGAGGTTGTGCCATATGAATGGCTGTCAAAAAACAACTCTTTCTTTATAACTTCGACTACTTGGGTTTTATTTTCAGTATTGAGGCACCATTAGTGTGATATATCATTTATTCCCATTTCAGTATGGCTTTTACCTTAAACTGCTAGTTAATTTTGATAGCCTCAGGACAAGACCTGAGGGGACCACCTTGCATCAAGGGGTTGCATCTGTTATAAGGATCCTCAAAGCTGAGGGACGAGAGAGACACAGATGTGGGATACTTTTACAGTATTAAAATAGCTTTTGTTATTCAAAAGTATTTTTCTTCTGTCTTTTGTAGATCCTAACTATCTCATGGCTAATGAACGCATGAACCTGATGAACATGGCGAAACTGAGTATAAAGGGGTTGATTGAATCGGCATTAAATCTAGGCAGAACTCTGGATTCCGACTATGCACCTCTTCAGCAGTTCTTCGTTGTGATGGAGCATTGCCTTAAACATGGCTTGAAAGGTAACACTGTTAAAGAGGAGTCCTCCTCGGCTGGTTGGGGTAGTGTGGGTGTGAGAGATCTATCTTGCTTTAAAAACCTGATTCTTTAATCTAGAGTAGGCTAAAGAAGGGCTGAACAGGGTCACTGCATTTGACAGCTCATTTATTGGAAAGCAAAAGCTGAAAAATCCGCCGGAAATGAAATGATACGGGTGAAATCTTTACGGTTGTTACAGTTATTGATTGTTTTTGGAACAACTTTTCAGATGTGATGAGTATAATTGAGTTTGGTGATAAAAATGGCCTCTTTAACAAATACGTCTCCTTTTTTCTGCACTTTCTGCAAAAAAAATGCAACATTGAGACACTATCTCCATACCTGAGTATATATTTAGCCGCATAATATGGGGTCACAATAAAAATGAAGTACTACACTGCTCTTCTTGACTTGCTGCCCTTAAATGATGGTAGCTTGAGATGAGCCGTGGGGTAGAGATTATTAAATTCCTTCAGCCTTCTTAGGTATATCTTGTGGTGGTGGCGCGTTAGTGGCAGAGTTCAGCATTGCCTGCTGGTGAAGGGACTCATGCAGCAGTTTAGGTAACATGTAAGGGAGCAGTATACACAGTCTTAGTGCTGCTGTTGTGCACCATTCAGTAGCGTCCCTACTGCAGGTCACGAGTTGAAGCTTAATGGCTTTCACTGTTCTTAGTGCTGCTGCAAAGTAGCAATAAAATTGTTCAAGAAACAAGTGCGTTTCTAGCTGTAGTTTTTGGGAGTCTCTGAAAAGCTTTCCTGAAGGAGGAGAGGGTGACCAGACAAGACTCCGGAACAAACAGAGAAGAAACTTAAAGGTGCTGTGTTTATTTTTCATGGAAGATGATGGTGTGTGCACCTTCGTTTTCCCTCACTGACCAACTATGGTTCAGAGACAGTGGCAGCATCCTAGTAGAATTTTTTGCCTATGGTAGTGAATCCAAGTTGCTGGTTATCACTGGGTGGTGTTGTTTTGCCATATTTGGGGTATAAAAAAAATACTGCCTGGCATCTATTTTGAGCTCCTGTTACCTTACTCAAATGAGAACTGTAATTCCCACACTTGGCTATAAAAAGTGATCTATTGTACTTGCCCAGCAGGCAATCACAGAAGACTCTTTCCAGTGATTTTTTTTTTTCTACTGTTGATTTAATTCTGAATGTGTTTGAGAAAGTATTTAGTTAGTGCAGCTGGAAAGGACTCACTTCATGTCTTGTCTTTTCCTTTTTTCCCAGCCAAAAAGACTTTTCTAGGGCAAAATAAGTCATTCTGGGGACCACTGGAACTGGTGGAAAAGCTTGTTCCTGAAGCTGCAGAGATCACAGCAAGTGTTAAGGATCTCCCAGGGCTGAAGTGAGTATGGTCTTGTACTGCACAAGGACATAGGATGGTTTTCTAGCAAGAATGATCATGAAGAGAAGGAAGGACAATCAGTCTTCAGGAACTGATCTGCCATTTCTGCTGATGTACAAGTGGCTCATATTCTTTATTACGGAACTGCAGGAGGAAAGGAAGGATATATTGTTTCTGTATTAAGGAGGGGACTTAAGGACATTAGGAAGTTTATTGCCAGCACTAAATGAGTGATGATGTGCCCTATGAATAGCCTTTATTATCTCCCTTTCTGAATTCAGACTGAAGAGGAGATTCAGATTAGATGCTGTTGAGCCTAATTTTGGAACATTAGACATCCAGAGGTCACTTTATTTTTTAAATATATGCTGATAAACTTGTGGAGTTTGTATAAAAGGAAGATTCAGTCATGAAGTTAAAGAAGATAATAGATTATGTTAGGGGGATTAAAAAAAGGTCTTTGGAAATACATTGCTTTTAAGAATTGCATAGTCACCTCAGATGTCGCATTCAGGTTTTTTTGTTTGAGCTTTACAAAGAAACTGTAAGTGAGGAATGGAAACTGAGGAGAGGAAAAAGAAGCTTAAGGAGGAATCTGTATGCCACGCAAGCTAAAGATTAATTTGTCTTTGCTCAAAGGTGAGATGCATGAATGAAACAACAAAGTGGAAAAGGTTTTTGTCAGGTTAGTGTTTAACCTGACAAACACTAACCTTGTCAGGTTAGTGTTTAACCTAACCTAGTGTTAGTATAAATGGACAATCGCTTTGGATGAAGGGCTGTGCAGGACTGTGCTTGGAACCCCTTAAAGACCAAAATGAAGTGCTAGCTGGCACAGGAGGCAGAACTCCTGTTATCCTGTTCTGTTAAAAGAAAATTGTAGGAATATTTTAAAGAAAAAAGGCAATTGTACTCTAAAGCTCAGCTTTGTATATGCTGTATGCTTAACAACTGTTTGAGAATTAAGCCTTATGCATTGCTGAGGTCAAGAAGTCACCTGGTGTTGATGATGATGACTTCTATGGACAATAGCTGCTTATTCTAGTTAAGATCAGAAAAAGGGAGCTCTCCACGTGATGCTTGGTATAAGGCAGGTGGTTGTCTGCAGGAAGCTGTAGAAAAGAAATTTCTCGCTAATTGTAGTATTGCTCAACACGAGGGATTTGCACCTTCCAATTAACAGGAGAAACAGGGGAAGCAGGCTATGACTAAGCTGTTATGTCCTGCAAGTGTGTCAGTGAGCAAAAGACTTCGAGAATACTACTGAATTGGTATTTTCTGACGTCTCTGTATTCTCACCAGGCTTACCATCTACTGAAGCAGTGGTGCTTGGGCATCTATGCTGTGTTGAGGTTTATGTGTGTTCTTCGGATTGGCCTTAGGCAAAACTGAATTTGAATTGGAAGGTGATTTATCCAAACAATTTATCTCTGTCTATGTAGTAGCATCCAACAGGGGTAGAGTGAGGGAAATATTAGAATAATAACAAATGCATAATTAGTTAAGAGATGGGAAATGATGGCTTAGGTATATGTGTTAGTAGCTATTTTCACTTAAATATCCTGTGTTTTTTTCCTTTTCATTAAGGAAGGCTATATCTTTGAGATGAAGTAGACTGCAGAAACTTCAACTAGAGAAGGATTTTTAAAGCGGTGTGTGAGTGGGATGCTGCAGTAGATAATTCTTATTTATGGTCTTTGCAGGACACCTGTGGGTAGAGGAAGAGCTTGGCTTCGCCTGGCTCTAATGCAGAAGAAACTCTCAGAATACATGAAAGCCTTGATTAACAGAAAGGATCTTCTCAGGTGAGCACTGCTCTCTCTAAGACGGGCTTGGTTTAGCCTGTGCACCCCTGTATGGTCTTTAAGATCTTTTGTGCCAAATATAGTATATGTGTACTTTCTCAGTGGCAGCATTGTGAAATCTAGAGCTTGCTCTGAGGGATAAGAAGTATTTAGGATTCTTTATTTTGTCGGAAGCTGTCATTTCTCTTAATAATCTTGGGGATTTATTACAGCAAATATTTTAGTAACGTAGTACAGAGAGAATATGCTGTTCTTAGAAAGATCTTGGGCCTGGTTTTCTTTCTCACCTTTGCCTTTACTTGCTCTGATATGGAACAAGTCACTTGACTGCCTCTGCTGTGTTTATAAAACAACAATAAATTTGTAGATTAGTTGGAATTCTATGGATAAGAATCACTATCTGTGCAGGGTAGTAGTATTAATAAACATGTGGATGTGAACTCAAGCAAGTAGATTTGTCAGCTCTTTATGCAAATCCATAACTGACTTGAGGTGGAGAGCTTTCTGTTGACCACTGGAAAAGGTGTAAGTGGCTCATGGCAGAGAAGTTGGTACTAGCTAGTAAAAGTGTGCTTCTAGGGCTTCGCCTTGAAGCCGCACTGAAATCTTTACTTGGCTGTAAAGTAACTCAGGAAATGATGCTTTGCTTTGATCTCTTCTCAAAAGTTGAGAGGCCAGCTCTCCTGCTGCTTGGCCCTTTGCCTCATCTAAAGACATAGTGTGCTAAGAGATATCTATTCCGGGTGCAGGAGTACGTTGTAGTACACAGGAGTGCGCTTCTGTGTTAGTGACATGTCTTTGTGAGGCTTTTTATTAAGCATGAACTTGCATTACACTGCTGTAGGAGATAGCCAGCAAGTAGTTATGTGTTTGTACTAATTTATCCATAAGCTTTACTTCACTCTAGTTGGTTTTTCAAAGATGCAACACTTTGTCTTCTTTTGGTGTGCATCCTGCAGTGAATTTTATGAGCCTAATGCACTCATGATGGAAGAAGAAGGTGCTATCATTGCTGGCCTCCTGGTAGGGTTGAATGTCATCGATGCAAACTTTTGCATGAAGGGTGAAGACCTGGATTCACAGGTACTGGGTATTCACTTTAGTGTTCTCTTTCTGCTCATTTAGATCAGATTTCCACTGTAAAAGACTTCCTTCATCTCAAATATCTTCATTGCTTGTAGTAATATAAGACTAATAAAAGTTTGTTACTATGATTGCATTATTCACATGGTAGGTAGTGCTGAGATCAGAGGCTCAGACTTCTGGTTTTCTAATGGCTCCCTTCAACTTAGCTTTTGTTGGTGGAAAAACCTTAGTCACATAAGCTTAGCATTTCCTCTGACTTGAGTGCTAGCAGAACACTTTGCCCTGCTGATCTTTGTACAGTAGTGATCTAGCTGCCAGTTATACGAAGGAGTGCTATAGCCTCTGTGCTCTTAAAATTTCATTTCTTAATGTGCTACCCAAAAGCCCACTCCCAGTTATCTCTGCTGCTCTGCTTTGCTGTGGTCTGAATGCAGGTCTCTGTGTAGGAGAAAAAGAGGGGGGAGATAGGCAGAAATGTTAATTCGCTCTCAGCATGTTATGAGATCATCTGTGAACCAAAAGAAAACAGGCCAGTATGCACTATTGTTTCAGCTTGCTTGAGTTGCTGATGTGGATGTGTTGATGACCTGATTTTGTCCTTATCTCTTTAAAACTTGATTTCCAACTTGCTGTTTCTCCTAGCACACTTGAACTAGTCTGTTCTCTCATTTGTTCTGCAGAGACTCCTGTTATAATGAATCTGAGATTACTGTTATAATGAATCCTTATTATAGTAAAACGTGCACTGATGTTATTAATGAATGACCCTACATATTTATGGATACAGGGAGTGTTCAGCCTTAGGAAAAGATTTTAATATAGAATTCCAAAACTTTATCTTCTAGGTTGGAGTTATTGATTTTTCAATGTATTTGAAAGAGGGGAACAGCACAAAAGGCAATGAAGGGTAAGTGCAACCCCAGCTGTTCTCCATCTCACCCTATGGTAACTTGTATTGAATATGCAGGTTGTTCTGTAAGCTGTTACGTTTTTCAGTCAGATGCTTCTTGCAGTGAGGTGCTCTTTGTTTTGTAAACATATGAATAAAGGACTGGAAGTGTTGGGAGAGAAGAAAGTAAGTCTCCTCCAAGTTTTGGATATTCCTCAAATGGCTGTTTGAAATGAAATAGTTTAAAAGTGACCCTCAGCTGAGTCAGGTCTGCTATTATTTAAAGTTTTCTCTAAAAACAATTCAGTAACCCTTAACAGTTTTGTGGCTAGTAAGATAGGAGCTGATTTTTTCAGCACCTTAGCAATTTCTGACCACAGAAATGATTTCTGTATTCGCAATAAGAGTTGGAATAAGAGCTCTTGTGCCAAAATACTCAGATGTAGCTGTCTAACATAAAGAAGTAAAAGTCAAAAAGGACAGCTTGGATATGCTGGCTGATCTAGTGTTCTAGTTATCTGAGATTCTTTGAGTGCTTCCTTCTTAGGAAATTTTATTTTGAGTGTAGGTATATTTTTACCATTATTCCTCAGAATCAGGTATTTTGCTTGCAATCTTTTAATCTGTTGTTTTTATTATTACAAACTGCATTTCTTTAAGATTTCCTGCTGGAAACACCAGCAACGTGCACTTGTTGGCAGTTTTTGCTGAGTGGATTTGGTATGAGTCATGTTCAGTACAAAAGTGGCAGTAAGATCAGCCTTTTACTTTTCCTGCTGGATTGCTGTTGTGCTAATTGAAATGTTGCAGGCATTGCTGTGTCACAAAATGCTTGCACATTATTCAGATGAATGAAGTGATTGCAGCTTCTGAGAAGTGAGAACTGTGACTGATCGTGAAGGCATAGGCGGTAGCTCAACTTTTGCTTTTTCGTGTGCTGCACGCACTCATCAGGACCCAGTGTGTTCAGTGCTGAGCTGAGGATGTAGGCTGTACTGCCACATTCCTCTTAAACATTTAACAATGCCCTTTAGTTCTTTTAATCCAAGTGGTGAGGCTTGGGATCAGAGAGAAACTGTACTCTTTGCTCCTGCTCCCTGTGGCTTGCTCCACGTAAACATGCAGCAGCAGCCTGGCTGCGTTGAGCAGTGAGTGTGAAGCCCAGCCAGGAACCCCCACTGCTAGGGACAACCAGGATGGCAGGGTAGAGCTTAAAGCCTTGCTAGAAGCCAGCTGGATCACTAGTGATTGACTGCTCTGTATCATTTTATTTCTGGGTGGCAGAGCAGACCTGCCATTCTGCCCGGTAGCCTCTGGAAATACCATGCAGTTAGTGTCTGTGGGTAGAAAAGAACTGCACTTGGGATGAGCTGAAGGTTACTTTTTTGTTGTTTTTTTTGTTTGTTTGTTTTTCTTCTCATAGATGGTCAGATAACTGCTATTTTGGACCAGAAGAACTATGTAGAAGAACTCAATAGACACTTAAGGTAATAAAAAATTTTTAAAGAATATATTATTGTTATACAACATAATAGAAAGCAGTCTTGAAAAAATGAGGAGTTACTGTAGCATCTTTTTCTCTTTAACAGTGCTACAGTAAACAACCTACAAGCAAAGGTGGATGCCTTAGAGAAATCCAACACTAAACTGACTGAGGAGGTAAGTGTAATAGAAAAGGACCTAATATTTTGGCCTTTTAGAGTCAAGGATTAGAAAGGTATTTGAGATTGATTTCCAGATATTGGATATGCTTGCTCATGGCTTTTTAAGAATGTAGCTGGAATAACTGAGCAAAGAGGAAATTGTGTTGATCCTCACCACACACGAGGTAGAAAAACAGCACACTCTTCATGATAAAAAAAACTAAAGCTATTAAAGATGCTTTGCTCTCTGAAGTTTTTTCTGTTCTTTTTTAAAGATGCTTTAGAAAGCATTGAACAGTGTGTGTGGTTTCAGTTGCATGTAGCCTGGAGGAGTTTTCCAGCTTGTGCTTATTTTGGCTGATGCAGAAGTTGACTACAGTGCTAAGATATTAATAAGTTATTAACTGTATTTCAAATGATAAAGAACCTAGTGGTGGAAGTTTGTGTATCTACTTGTGCTGTTAAGAAGTAAATACTGTACTTCACAATTAAAAGGATTATTTTTTTAGTTCAAAAATGTGGTCTACAGTAGGCTGCTTTTCCTGTGTCGCTGCTCTTGATACCACATGCTGAATGTGCATGGCACCTGTGAGGTGAATTCCTGTGTTGACTGAAGTATAGTTGATCTTAAGATCCTGTTGCTTTTTGCTAACTGCAATCTGTATGCTATTGAAAGTAATAATTGACCTGACACTGGAACACACTGTGCCTGTTGGAGCTGTGTGCAGGATGTAGTTAATGGTTTAGGTCACATGTCGCATCAACTTGTCTGTTTGGGAAAAACTTAAACTCTTGTCAGGGTACTTAGTATTGGGTCTGTCATTTAATAACTGATCTCTTGGAATAACAGGGAGCTTTTTTGTGTGTGTCTGAGTTTTATGTAGGTCATAAATTATTAAACCTTCCCCCCCAAAAATCCAAGTTATTTTGGCATTTGACCTTACACTTCAAGTAGCCTGTTGGTTTGAAATGAGGCCCTCTTCAGGACATCCTTTGAGGAATATGTCCTGTCTCATACAGATGCTGTGTGCTATTTGCCCTCGGGTTTCAAGCCCAAATTTCTCTTTCTAGTGTTGCCCTAGTAGTGCTTCTGGCACCGCCTTGTTCAGGTGCTTGCGCATCTTGCGTCTCGGGAGCTCTGACCACTCATGTATCCAAACTAGCAGAGCTTTAGCAGACTCATGCGAGTGGGTGGCTCTGTGGTCACCGAATCACGGATCATTTGGTCATGTATCACACATTGGTGGTTATATTTCCATTACTCAAGTCAATAAAAATTAGCTGCTGTGTTCCTCCATTTCTCAATTTTATTATCCTGGCAAGGGAGAAGGAATGAAGTGAAGATTTCTGTGGATGCGTGCTAACCAAGTGTTAAACAGAATCTAGCAAGTAGTTATCTGAAGAGCTTTAGTGACTTCATTGGAAGACATGAGCTGGAAAGTTGCAGTTTTGGACAGTAATGGAAAGCCACCACACTGGATCTAACAGATTTACTTAATTATTAAGATAGCCCCTCTCTGTGGAGAGACAGAGGCTGAGTTGTAGTTTACTACTGTAAACAAACAAACAGAAGCTGCCTCTAAATGTGAACAAACGAGTGCTTGATGAAAATCTGTCTAAAGAGGGGAAAAAAAAGGTCAATGTTTTTTTGATACAGAACTGTTGTTTTATTTTGTTCACAGCTTGCTGTTGCAAACAACAGAATTATTACACTGCAGGAAGAGATGGAACGGGTTAAAGAAGAAAGTTCTTACATCTTGGAGTCCAATCGTAAGGTGGGTGGTGTCGGATTTCTGAATCCACTGGGCAGATCCAGCTTAAATGGGGTAGGGAGGAGCTATTTCGGAGAGACTTCTTTTCCTTATGTATATCACAAAGAGTGGCAGAAAAGACTTGACTCCAGCTGGGCCCTCCCCAGAGGGCAGCAGATGGACCCTGGCCATAGTACATCCTGCTTGGCAGTAACTGATTAAACTCTGAGCACATACAAAGCTGATGGTTAACACAGCCTGTCTGTGGCTTGCTACATGGAGACAGGAGGAGGGGATGATTTACCAGGAGGCTGCAAAAAGCTTAAGCAAGTGGGAGTTCTGTCTTTTTTGACCTAAAATGCTACCTGTTCTCAAATCAAGGGATGGTTTCTTGAAATATTCAATATGCTTTTCTTCCTTTATTTATGACAAATACTAGCAACTGTGTTAGAGTTGCCTGTTAGTTGTAAAATACACAGGATGGTTTTACATAGTTCATAATTGGACTTAGTACACTCTCCAGGGCCTGTGTGCACTGAGTTAAACTCAGTTGTTTAGGGTAAGGGAAATACATTAAAATCACAAGTAAATTGCATGATGAAGCTGAATGAAGCTACTTAATTTTGATGGCCATTAAGTTTGTTTTCACAGAGAAGAAAATGGTTAGCATGTTACTATCCTGGATAACGAGTATATAATGATGAGTTATTTGGATTTCTTCCTTAGGTTACTAAGGACAGAACTGCAGATGGACACGCACTTACTGAGGCACGAAAGCAGTTAAAGGAGGAGACTCAGCTGCGTCTGGTAAGGGCAGTGGAAGCTTGGTGCTCCACAAAATGGCATTTTAATGTAGTTATTCAGTGTCAATCACTTTAGAAATGGTTTTGCCAGGGGGTTATTTTCATTCCAGCCTGCCCTGCTTCAGTCTGATCTGAGACTGTCAGAAGTGATGTTGATTTTTGTGTGTGTACCTGGGTTGACCAGTTTGAAGTCTGTTCCTCAAAATGGGCAGTGGATTTGAGTTTTTCTGTCTTAGGTATCCCCCTTGAAGATAGAATTCTGATCGTATCAGTAACCCTATTCAGTATAGCATATGTTCAGTTCAGTGTAACATGTTTATTTGGTGGTGAGGCAAATGTTTGAGCAGAATGTTTTTAGGAAGTTAGTCTGCAAACTTTGCATTAGTCTGCCTTGTCAGAAAACGGGCTCCAATAGGACTTGGCTACTTTCTGCTGGTAATGCTGTTTACATTGCTTTAATGTTTGACCAGAGTTATGGGTTAGTTTTCCTTAATTGCCTTTGATGTGTCTAATCTGTACTGTGACAGAGGCAATGCACCATGCTACTGGGTGTGTTGGCAGGAGTACAAGGGGTATCGCCTGGGTACTGGAAAAAGTTAGTTGGAAGTGCTGACAGCTGTGCATGTTTCAGGATGTGGAGAAGGAGCTGGAGGTACAGATTGGGATGAGACAAGAGATGGAGTTAGCCATGAAGATGCTGGAGAAGGACGTCTGTGAGAAGCAAGACGCACTGGTGGCACTCAGACAGCAACTGGATGATCTCAGGGCCCTAAAACACGAACTGTCTGGGAAATAATTAATCAAATGCAATGAATCCTTACTAAAAGTGTTGGCTCTTGTGCTTTGTCTTTTTTCCTCTGTTTAGCAGATACTCACTAGGGAATGATGACAGGCTTTCTAAGTCATTTCACTCCTGATGCTGTTTCATGCTTTTCCTACAATTGACTTGTTTGCTTTAGGGCTGACATTCTTAACCTCAGATTAAATGGGGTTTGAACAGGGAACTTTAAGGAAGATATACTATCCATAATGGAGTTGCAGCCTTTTTGCCTCTTTCAGATGTCTAACAAAAAAAGCAAGATGGAAAAAAGTGAGACTGCAGTCCAGTGTTTTAACGTATGTGGTAGCATTACACGTGTTATTGTTCAAGTAACAAAAAGACTTGAGGTAAAATGTGTAACGAAGTAAATCCTGAAGTCCAGAAGTAAATGCTAATGTTAAATTTAGAACAGAGGAAAATGGTTTTTACTTGCTAATATCACTCAGTTGTTTTGCACATAATGATTAGCTCAAGGCAAGTACTGCATTAATAGAGATTATGTAAAAAGCTGGACTAATCATGGTATTTCCACTCTGTGATATCCGGATATACTCTATATCTGTAGGAAATAATGTTTTCTCTTCCGATTAATGATCTGGTGTTTGCTTTTGGATCCCCTTCTCAGGTCCAGCTGGTTTTGGCCCATGTACTTGCCAAGTAATTTACTGTGCTTGTAATTTAGTTTGTTTTTGCTGCTACTTACAAAAGGTGGGATACCACTTTTTTTGTAGAGTTCAGACATGGGAGCAAAACAGAAGAGTGAATTAAACAGCCGCTTGGAAGAAAAAACAAACCAGATGGCTGCTACCATCAAACAGCTTGAACAAAGGTAAAAAAAAAAAAAAAAAAAAAGGCAATATTTGCAGTTCTAAAGTGGTGTGCGTGTTCCTGAGGTGCAGTGCGTGCTCTTTTCAGACAACTATGTTTTTATTTGAAACTCTCTACCTCACTTTTACATAAAAAGTACAAACAGAGTGATATTCCTGAAGAAGTTGTTAGCAGATAGGCTTTAATTTAGCTTTTTAAGTCTAAGGAGTCTCCGATTGACCTAGTCCTGCTCTGTTTGTCTGCTAGAGTTGCTACTGGCTTGAGCAGCAGCAGAGCTAAAACCATTACAGGTGAGAGAGGGTGCACAGCTTAGCCACCACGAGCAGAGCTCTGCAAAGTGAGCAGGTTGGCTCTTCAGGCAAGAATTTCATGACGTGCTATTAGAGACATTACAAAGTCTTTCATTTATAAAAGAACATACTACTAAACCAGTAAGTAGAGTAGAAGCTTTGTTCTTTACATGAGCTGCATAAATGTTAGCCAATCATTTACAAATAGTGTCTCTGATAGCACTGATTAAAAACACAAAAATAAATATTTTAGTTATTTTCATTTTTCTCTATGTTTTTTCTTTTTGTTAAAGCCAAGCCTTGTTGTTGTTTGGCGTAAGGTTCAGAACTTAATTGCCTTGAAAAAAGGACTATAGTACTGTCTTCGAGCAGAATTGGGTCTCAAATATATTTTTTTTGCTGAGATTTATTTAATGAGTAGTTAAATGCATTAAACTAGTTGATTAATTTTAGAAGTTGTGTTCTGAATGGTTCTTTACCAAAGAGGTCACTTGTTTGTATATAGACTTTATATTTTAAAAAATATCGTGCTACCTATTCAGCTAATTGATTTGCTCTTTCTCTTGCTGTCCCTATTCTTTTATTTCCTCATCATCCTCATTCTAACTTTCTCATACTCCTTAGTGAAAAGGATTTGGTGAAACAGGCAAAAACCTTAAACAGTGCAGCAAACAAACTGATCCAGAAACATCATTAGACACTTTTTTGTCTGGTCACCTCGCAGCTCTGATATCAGAACTCATTTATGAGGGGAGAACTTGAGAATTACTAAAAGCAACTGTTTAAATGTTAATTGTCTCCTAAAGTTGATTTAAATTTGCTGAATTTTTAAAATCAGTGAGGTTTTTCTTCAGAGATTTAAATTGGTTATAAAAATCCCTAACTTTGCCATTTAAACTGTTAAACTAGCAATGAGCTGGCCAATAAACACGTCAGGAAAAGCCTATGGAAGGGGAGCTATGTGGCTCTGTCCACACTGGTGGTGCACACTGTAGGCAGCAGCACCAATCTTCAACCTTTACTAGATACTAGATGCGTTGTTCCAGCCACCATTTGATTGGCCAGCTCAGGAAAGTCAACTAGTTTTCTGTGTTACCCTTTTTGTGAAGTAGACGAGAAAATGCATCCCTGGAAGTTGTTGAAAGTAGTCGTGTGCATCCCCCAAACCGTTACCCGTTGGCGTATGTCCTGCGGGTTTGCCCCAAGCCCAGGAGGAGCGGGTGCCTCTCAGTAGCTCATCGCGTGAAGACCCTCTAGTGACCAAGACTGCTTGCAACAATTTTGCCTTAGTGACTTGGTGGGAGGGTGGGAGCTTATCCTAATTCCTTTAAACTTCATGTGTCCAAATTAGTAGTTAGGTGTCTTAGAGTAATAGGATAGAGTGGTAAGTTCAGTGAAAACCTCCTTATCTTTGCATTGCCTTCTACCTCTGACATAAATCCCTCTAGAAATATGTTGCAGTTCTTCCTGATAGAAGGAAGCTGAGGAGAGGTGTTTTGATAGGCCTTTCTTCTTCCTAGAAAGGAAAATTAACACGTTTTACAAAAATATTCTGATCTTTATACTCTAGTGTTTAAAAAAAAAAAAAGAAAAAAAATAAAAAAAATAAAAAGCAAGGAAAGGTGCAGTGATGGGGAGTGGGACCAGTAATTTGGTATTTTGCCATTCCTTATCTGAGTAGTTAGTGGTTGGACAGGAGAGTTGCCTTTTGCTATTACACTTGTTACACTGGCTTTTAAGTTTCTGTTGTTTGGTACATATGGAATTTGCTAATGAAAGAACAGCTAAAGCTTGAACAGCTCTGAGCAGGGAAGATTGTTGTCAGCTCCCCAGTGCAAAACTTCAACTGACTGTAGCTTGAACTGCTGTAAATGAGTATCCTCTTCCTGGTGGCTCCAAAGCTGCACCATGCTGGCCCTTGGCAGGGTTTAGGCTATAAATGCTCCTAGAAATATTTTGGTTCAACAGGATCATGTTGAGGTGTGTGTTCTGGATTGTTTGTTAACTTATTTTTTGGATAAGGGTCTTTTTTGCTCCGTCGAGATGCTTTTAAGTCCTCGGAGGCCAGCTCTTCTCTTGTCCTGTAGAGCAGCGCTCCCTGACATCGCAGGAGGTGGCCGTGGCTGTAATGCAGCCGGGGAAATAAAACCAATGGCATTCCCGCTTGGCACGTGGGAAAAGCCTGGCCCTCCTGCACGCAGGTGCGGATGACTGACTCCTCCCCAGGCAGCCTTGGAGACCGCGCCGGAGTCTGAGCAATCCCCAAGTCGCGTATTTGGATGTATCAACTTAATCTTGATCATCTTTTAGTATAAACGCATCTTAACTACCTGGGCGGGGGGTGGAAATGCAAGCTTTCACCAAGATATCCAAATGGCTAGTTAGGACAGCTAACTCCCCTGCCCCTCCTCAAATTTCTGTTGTAGGAATAATAGTTCGGACTGGTTTTGTTTGCTATCATAGCAATTCTAAGAGTTAAAGATAAGATAACCCAAGATAAGAGTTAAATCTCTGGTGGTTTCTGGCCAATCTCAGGCCCAAAGCAGAGATGCTTTGGTGTGCTAATGCCCGGGCACTTGGTCCAACGTGATAGTCTGTGGAAGAGACCAGGAAAATGCACTAATTCTAAATATAATAGCTAACCTATGTTGCAAGTTCCAGTTACACATGTAAAGCTGAAATGTAACGTACATTAAAATCAAATTTGACTTAAATTCTGTGTACTTGAGGTTTGCTTTGAACCTGGATAAAAGTGATGTTTTATGTTTTTCATCTAATGGCTGTAAACTGTAGTAATAGAATAAAAAACATTGAAAATCAGAGCTTCTGCCTGGTTCACCTACATTTTACTTTTTTTTAGAATGTTTTCTTCCTTGCCATTGTTTTTACCATCCCTTCATTTGGATTTTCCTTTTCATTGGGGTTTTTTTTTTAATTTGTTGTTTAAACTCGGTCTTCCTCCCCACCATGGCTTTTGTTTTTTATCACAAGTTCATGTGGCTCAAATCCAGATTGCGGCAGGCGGAGAAGGACCGTCAGTTGGCCGAGCAGGACAACCGGCTCTTCAAGCAGGAGTTTGGGGACAAAATCAACAGCCTGCAGCTGGAAGTGGAAGACCTCTCCAGACAGCGGTGAAGACATCTTTTTCCATCTATTTGTTGGGCTGTTGTTACTATGTCTAGTATAAAAACCGTCAGGACAATCCCAAGAATAGAAAGGATTTGGGAGAGGGAGAGAAACAAGCTGTGGAGCCTGTCTAGGAAGCTCAGGCAGACCGTTGACTGCAACACAGACCTTTATCAAGTCTAGCACTAGTATTTTTTTCCCCCTGTTAGCATAACTTTGGCTTTGAAGCAAACAGTTTCCTGTTGCTTATGAGCAGCAATGTAGCAATTAAGCCTCAGCCTGGCGGCGGCACTTCTACAGAAGCATGGAATAGTTTTAGTGGAGCAAGGGAAGCCATCCTTGTGGTCAACCTGCAAGCAGTACTGGGTCTTTTCTAGCCAAAGCCGGGTTATTTTGATGGGAGGCAATTGGGGGAAAAAAAAAAAAAAAAAAAAGGAAGACATAGCAAGAGCTATCAAATTTTCCCTTGCAGTGACCTCCATTTACCAAAATCAGGAAAATAGAAATCCTCTTATCTTAAAATAGAAGAGCTTCTCTCATTCTGCAGACATGACACATCCTCTGTTTTGCAGCAAGGTCACTAAGATGATTTGTATGAAAGCATTGCTGGATGTGTGTGTTGGCTCTCCTCTCCTGCCACAGCTGCTTTTTTTCCTTGTTTCCTTGTGGCAAGTGCTTAAAAGACAGTAAGTAGGAAAGGCAACCCACAAAGCTGGTAATAGATGCCTTGTATCAGGAATTTAGGTCAAGTTCCAGGTGTGATAGTGAAGAATGTATATGTATGTGTTGGTACAAGCCTGCTCTTTCGCATGTCTGAGTGTGGAAATGCAACCCTCAGTTATGTGAAACTAGGTCCAAAAGTATGAAACTGGACAAGCTTAGATGTATTAACAGATAAAAGGAATCATCATCTTTGCATGTGCATTTTGTACTAAGTCAGTTCAGCTGAATTAGTGTACTCTCTGGGGAGGGCACTTGCAGATCGGTATGTTTTTGCATCAGTTGGTTTTCTGTTGATTCCTTTTTCACACATGCTCCATCAAGGTGATGTATGAAAAGGAATGAACCTCCTTGCCAGCAGGCTGTACTGCTTGCCCAGGTGTGTGAAGCAGGGAGATGTTGGAGATGCTGCAGTGGGTGGTGAGCAGTCTTGCGTCTCAGCATTTTGTGTCTGAGCACAGGGAGAGACAGCATTTTACCAAGAGGCAACTTTGAGCTCTTCAGTTGGGGCTCAGTCCCTTTGACATGAAGAAAGCGCTAAGCAGTTTGTGTCATGTTTGTGTCACTCCGTGTTGGCTGTTGAATAAAAGCATAGCCTTTACTCACCATTCGCCTTCAATATTACAGGAGCCAGCTTGAACTGGAGCTGAGGCGGGAAAGGGACAGATGGTCGCATGGTCACCCAAGTAGCCAGGAAAACAAAAAAGGCTGCCCAAAGAATCAGCCAAGAGCGGTAATGTGAGCTTTCGTCATCTTTGCTTGTATTTAAGTGTAGCTTAATTTTGCTCACTCTCTTTCCTTGGGTTTTATTGGGCGATGAATAGATATTGTTAAGAGCAACACCAAGATGAGCTTTGAAACTTTTTTCATACATGCAATAAATAACCATTTTACCTGAGCCCTGAAAAAGTATTTAAAGCATTGCAGAACATAATTTACCCTTCCCATAGGGGTAGCTCACAGCATCTTGAAAGTAACTGTGTTTTTCTGTAGTTGTTTAATAAAACCGATTGTGACATTACAGGAGAGATGCTGTGCTCATATCTGATGAAAAGTCAACCAGCATTTTTTTCCTTTAATCGTCATGTTGAGTTTTCTCTTGGAAGAGTTGAACAGCAAAACTCCTTAGCAAGTAGTTTTCTTGAGGGAGCACCACAGAGGATTTTCAGTGTTCTTGTACTGCTATGCATTGGCGAATGGTGTTTTTAAAGCCTAAGGCAGTGTTTATCTCAAGGGTAAAACTGATGGTCCTCAAGTGAAACTCCCTTTTTGGAAGTAAATTTGCCTTTGAAAGTGAAAATCTGCTTCTTTGACTTTTCGTTACAAAACTGAAACAGGTTATTTTGGTGGGAATTGGCTGTAAAACAGCTATTTCTGAGGGAGAAAGAAATACCACAAATGTGAGAACAACAAAATAACGCAGGTGGTTTTCAAGATT